CCGACCATATTCACACCAGCAAACGTGGAAATGATACTCTCATTAAGGTGTGTGTCAGAGCATGAGAGCCTGAAAAGTGGAGGGCTGTCACAGAAGAAGTGATGAATGACATTGGAACTGCAGAATGGCAGGCTGCCTACATAACTCGTGTTAAGCACGGAGTTCAAGAATCCTGCTGTAAAAGCCCCTGCTGCCATTTTGAGGCACACTGTCCTGGACATGACCAAGGAGTAAAGGAGGGGGTTGCATATGGCCACATAACGGTCATAGGCCATTAAGCCAAAGAGGATGCATTCGGTCGTGGCCAAGGCGATAAAGAAGTACAACTGCAGGAAGCAGCCAGCAAAGGAGATGGTTTTCTTCTCTGACAATAAGTCTACCAGCATCTTTGGGGTGATGGTGGAGGAATAACAAACATCCACAAAGGACAGGTTAGCCAGGAAGAAATACATGGGCGTGTGAAGTCGGGGATCAATGCTGATTAAGAGGATCATCCCAACATTCCCCAAAACTGTCAGTGTGTAAATCACAAAGAAAAGCAAGAAGAGAATGGCCTGTAGCTCCATGGTGTCTGCTAATCCCAACAGGATGAACTCAGTCAGCGAAGTATCGTTTTTGTTGCTCATGTGTGCAAATACAGTTTGCTTAAACTTGCTTTAGGGGTCAATATTGTCTTCTCCTAAGTTTATGAGAAATAGAAACCTGAATGAGGATTTTCGCAAAAGGGAAGAACAATCAACCTATGATAGTACAACACAGTAAATAGAGTGATCTAGCAAGAGGAAATGGAGGGACAAATAGAGAGGCCTTTGAACTTAATCAATAATTTTCTGTACTGAATTTGCATTGTGAGCCTTTCAACTCACTGGTGTAAGATCATATACATTCCACTCAGTTTACGCAAAAGCAATATATGATGTACTAGTGTCTCTTTACAGTCTGTGTCCAAATTCAAAGGATGAGTGTTTCTGCTGACATCTCTCTTATTCTCTGAACAGGTATGTAAGTCTAACCTATTCATTTTTCCTGAAAACCACTCTGAATTTCTCAAGACCATTCTGTGGAGCCTGGTAGATCGTCAATTAACTTTACAACTCTTGTTTTCAGTTCAGGTCATTATTTCTGGTTTTTGAATTTGAGCCTTGCATTGGGCTCTTTGTTGACAGTATAGAGTTTGCTTGGGATTCTCTCTCTCCCTCTCTCTACCCCACCCTTACTCTTCTTCTCTCTCTCAAAAATAAATAAATAAACAAAAAAGATTGTTTTTTCCACTCCCAGTCATGATTTCCTCCCCAGAAATCAGTCTTCTGTAACTCAAGCAGCAACAATCATTACCATTTTTACTAATCTATTTTTAGAGACTATCATATCCTTAGAAATGATCTTGTAGTGTTTTAAAAGTGAAACACGATATTGTTCTCATTAGAAAGTACACTGTCGAATTAGAGTCCTGTAGCAGCAGATCTGTCACCTGTCCACACCAGTGAGTGACAGCATGAAGTTCTGATCGCTTGCTTCCGAGCTTCTTACCTGTCTGGTCTCATTGTTTCTGTTTTATTAGGGGATTTCAGATCAAATGGAGCTTGCAGAAAAAGGAAACATTTTTCATTTGAAAATGACATAAAACGCAGTACTAATTCAATTTACCCATTTGTAAAAATTGAGATGCCTTCTGAGTAAATACATATTGCCACACTTTTATTTTGTGTTCCTAAGGAGGAGCGGGTAACCATGGGAGCTAGATTATAGGTTAATTGTGAGCCAATCCTCCAGAGGGAGGCAGTGCAGTCTCAAAAGAACACTCAATATGATCACTTGCCGATAAAGGGAATTGAACAATGTATGGGGTTTACATCCAGGAACACTTGTTGATCTCCAGAGGCTTTAAAAAAGTCTTTGCCAAAGTAAAGAAGTAATAATAATAACAATCATACATTTTTAATTGGCTATTTGCATTGCCTCTTCCTTATATTTTTAGCCTATTCCAAATGGGTACATAATTCACTACTAAATTGTTCATTTTCCCTTACCATTTCAATAATCGAGCCAATCGTTATTCTTTCTTTCCCCTATTGTGTGAAATTGTGTTTTGTGTCATGTTTGCATGTGTTTGTGTATGTGTGTGTGCACTCCCCTCCTTTGTCTAGGCAAGTGTAACCTTCCATTCAATTCTGTCTTGTGCAAAATTAATGAGAAGGAAAAACTAACTAACCACTGCAAAATGTTTAAACGAGAACTAAACCCTGGGGAAATGATACAATGGATAAGAAAATTAAGCTATTTTTTATGATATCAGAATTGTAATGGTTTTTGCAATTATTGTCTAGGACTCAGATATTAAAAATATAAATAATAAATAAATACATATAAGGAAAACAAGCTGAAGCAAACCACATTGGGTGTCCATATGCAGGGAGAGCCTATCTGCATACAGAACTCATAACATACTACACTTTCAATGTAGTATCTCCACTAATCCTCCATGCTAGGCTTTGACATTCTGGTTATTATTTTACACATTTTGCAGCTGAAATTTCAGGCTAATAAGTAACTTTTTAATAGACACACTGTTAGAAATGAGAGAATCAACTTGAGAACAATCGTCATCAGAAGGAAATAATATCCGGCTACCCACCTTTCCTATCCCACCTCATTTTCTGCTAGTTATGTAGAAGATCACAAATATATATATATATATATATATATACACACACATATATATATGTATACACATACATATACATTACATATATACATACATACATGTGTGCATGTGTGTTTTTGTGTATATACATGTGTTTATTCTAGTAAATATGTATTTTGTACCACTGTGCACTTCTCATTTTTATTTTTTAATTTTTAATGTTTTTTATTTAGTTTTAAAAGAGAGAGAGTGCAAAAGGGAGAAGGGCAGAGAGAGGAGGAGGACAAAGGACCCTAAGCAGGCTCTGCGCTGACAGCAGTGAGCCCAACACAGGGCTCAGACTCACGAAGCATGAGATGATGACCTGAACCAAAGCTGGACACTCAACTGACTAAGCCGCCCAGGCACCCCTTCTCATTTTTAATATAACATTCAAAATTAGGTTGTGCATGTTAGTTTACATTAAAAACCAAATCAAAATTATTTTTGTATGTTGAAATCAAACTGTGTATACACACCTTTTCTGCCTTATGCAGGACTCCATCTATTAATAACATCAGCCCTTTTTTTTTTGTGATATGTTAGTTTGATGTATGTGATTCTTAAATACTGATGTTTCTATCCTTCCAACTTGTTTGCTTATTTTTTCAGCACTGTGATGCTCACAGGTTTTGTAAGGTAGCCTCTATTTGGCTTCACCTATAAACAGAAGAAAATATTGACCAAAACGATGCCCCCAAAACATACCACTCAAACATCATTCATTAATATTAGTATATAAATTCCTCAAAAACCATTGAATATGTCAAATGTATTGAATAACAACTTTATATTTGGAGAAATAAATTTGAATTAATCGTTCAACTGAAACAAAAACTGAGGGGATTAGCAAGTTGAAACAATGAAAAGTGCATAGCAAAGAGGAAAAAGAGTAAGACCTTCATGGGAAGGGTTTAGTAAATATTGTCAAGGATCTAAGAAAAGAGGGAATGATAAATCAAAATATAATAATGAGAAGACTCAATGCTTTTACAGTTCAAATTTATTTTGAGTTCAATAAAATATGCAATATTTGAAACACTTTTTCACATGAATGATTAAACAATAAGCAAAAAGAATAGTTTTACAAGTAACTTGGATTAAAGAAATAATCAAAATTTACATTAGAAAAGATATTCCATGAATTAAAAAGCAGGCAGGATAACTAAGTGATCATAGCTCCCAGTGCTGGAAGTACTTGTAGACTCTGTGGAGGAGACGCAGGAAATGCAGGAGAGGTGAATTAGACAATAGAGCATATAGCCTCAAATAGGATACGTCTACAACCCAAATCTCAGAAATACTGGATTTTATCTCCTATTGTTTCTAAGTTTCAGAGGAAACTGAAGCATATTGCAAAAGGAATATAATGTTAGTATTTACTTGTGAAACATCTCAGTCTGACCTATGGATCTACTAAATATCGGGACAGAGGAAAGAAAAAATCCAGTTAATGAGCAGCCAGCTGGTGAGAAAAATGAGAGTGAGCCACTCAGTCAACAAGCAAATTATCTCTGAGGACAACTTGGGCATTGTCTGCAGGGCACCCAGGGCCAGGAAACCACAGCAGACCTGGAGATGGAGAGTTCGGTGTACAGGTGCATAGACAACTCTGATGACTCCACGTACACCTGTCTGGGCAAGGTCACTTACACGGATCATAGGACACATTGGAATACAAGCAGGGTGACCTGTTTGTGATGGGACACAATGTATGTTATGTCTACGTCCCTACTTCTAACATGTACAACTTTAGTGGAAAGGGTAAAGGCCACGGCTTATCTCTGTCTGAAGGTTATCCATGTGGCCGTCTACCATGTAAGCCTTGGCACCCATCAGTTTCTAAGTTGCCAATTCCCTGTTTACCTCCATATTAATAATGCTTTCATGTAAGATATAATGCAAATTAAATTAATTCTATTGGTAAATGATAGACACATCTTTGAGCTGAAATTCATGAGCTTATCGTAAAAAATATATTTCAGATTTATACATTGAACATTGATCTGTCCCTTTTGCAACTATCCCCTGATTAAACTATATAGCAACTGAATGTGTGTATGTATTCTTCAGTTTATGTGTCAGGCAAGGAGGGAAAATGAGAGAGAAGATTTGGAAATTTTTGAGTGAAAAGAAGATAAGAGTAAAATAGTTCCATGTAGGTTCTATGGCCTTATATAAGTTTGGTAATTTCACTTGTGCCTCATTGGTTACATACATCTGAATACTGTAGACTCATTACTCCATAAATATTCTACAGAAAAGCTGTAGGCCTGAAACAGCCTGTAAAATTCAATTAAATACTGTGTTCAGAAACTCAACCAAACAGCCATAGAAATGGAGAGATCTTTATCCTGGTGGTTACATTCCATAAAGCCTTCTTTACTTCCTCATTCCTGAGGCTGTAGATCACAGGATTCAACATGGGGATCACTACAGTGTAGAACACAGAAGCCACTTTGTCCTGACCCAGAGAGTAGCTGGAACTAGGTCTCAGGTAGGTATAGATGCCGGTGGCGTAGAACAGAGTTATAGCTGTCAGGTGAGAGGCACATGTGGAGACTGCTTTGCGCCTCCCTTCCTCTGAATGCATATGGAAGATACAGAAGAGAATGTACGAGTAGGAGGTAAGGATGATCAGCAGAGACCCGACTGTATTTACACCAGCAAACGTGGAAATGATACTCTCATTAAGGTGTGTGTCAGAGCATGAGAGCCTGAAAAGTGGAGGGCTGTCACAGAAGAAGTGATGAATGACATTGGAACTGCAGAATGGCAGGCTGCCTACATAACTCGTGTTAAGCACGGAGTTCAAGAATCCTGCTGTAAAAGCCCCTGCTGCCATTTTGAGGCACACTGTCCTGGACATGACCAAGGAATAAAGGAGGGGGTTGCATATGGCCACATAACGGTCATAGGCCATTAAGCCAAAGAGGATGCATTCGGTCGTGGCCAAGGCGATAAAGAAGTACAACTGCAGGAAGCAGCCAGCAAAGGAGATGGTTTTCTTCTCTGACAATAAGTCTACCAGCATCTTTGGGGTGATGGTGGAGGAACAACAAACATCCACAAAGGACAGGTTAGCCAGGAAGAAATACATGGGCGTGTGAAGTCGGGGATCAATGCTGATTAAGAGGATCATCCCAACATTCCCCAAAACTGTCAGTGTGTAAATCACAAAGAAAAGCAAGAAGAGAATGGCCTGTAGCTCCATGGTGTCTGCTAATCCCAACAGGATGAACTCAGTAAATGAAGTATTGTTTTTTTTGCTCATGTGTTACATATACAGTTTGCTTAAGCTTTCATTAGGGGTCAATATTTTCCTAACTTAAATTCGTAGGAAATAGCTGTGCTAATGAGATTATTCATGCATTAGAAAGGAAAAAACAACCTAGGATAAGTACAACACAGTAAATAGAGTGATCCTGGAAGTGGAAAATTGGGGGACAGATAGATAAGCTCTATGAGCAATTGTCTCTATGAACTCAGTAGTTCAGGACCACATACTCCCATTCAGTTTCTGCAAAAGTAGTCTGTGTTGGTCTATTCTTTCATTCCAGCTAATATCCAAATTCAACTGCTAAATATATCCTTGTTGAAAACTTTCTAATTTTATGAACATTTTTGTGAATTTAATTCCAATGTATTTTTTTTTCCACTCAGGAGCACTCTGAGTATTCCTCAATATCAAAATTCATGCATTCACGCCCAGAAATCATTCATGTCTACCTCAAGGAGCAAATAAAGTGACCATTTCAAACCACCAATATGTTGTCACCTCTCATAAAATTTTATGAAGGATTTTGTAGTGTTTTAAAGTGAATCAAGGGGCATCTCAGTGGCTCAGTTGGTTAAGCGTCGGACTTCTGCTTAGGTCATTATTTCATGATTTGTGGGTTCGAGCTCTGCGTAGGGCTGTGCTGACAGCTCAGAACCTGGAGACTGCTTCGGATTCTGTGTCTTCAGCTCTCTCTGCTGCTCCCCTGCTCTTTCTCTCTCTCTCAAAATAATAAACATTTAAAAAAATTAAAAGGAAACATAAGAGTGAAATCAGACAATTGTTCTTGTTATGAAGTACACTCTCAGCGTCCTAAAGTAGCAGACATGATATTTGCCCATCTCAGTGTATAATAGTGCCAAATCCTGATAAATTCCTTCCTCATGTCTTACCTGTGTAGTGTAGTATTTTTTTTTCATCAGGAGTTCTCAGTTGAAGGTTAAAACTCGAAAGTAGAAAAATTTTATTTTTAAAATACAATGCAATCCAAATTTGAATTAATTATTTATTTATTAAAATTTAAAACACCTTCTTAAGATACTCGTTTCCATGCTTTTATATTGTTTTTCATAAAGAGAATTGGGTAAACATTGGAACCAGATTATGAGTTTTAATTGCTAGTCAATTCTCTAAAGGCAGAAACTCCGATCTCAAAGGAAAACGCAGTATGATCACATGCAGACATATGGAATCAAACATGATGTGGGGCCCTTCATCACTAAGTACCTATTCATCTCTATGTTACTTTAAAGTCTTGCCAAAATAACTGATGAATCACTATATTTTACACTGTATGGTGACTACATTGGAATTTAACTAAATTGCAAAATTGCCGTTTGGCAAAAAAATTAATTTTAATTTTATTTGAGCATTTATGTTTCCTCTCTCTATGTATTGGTAGCTCATTCCAAATGGGTACATGGTCCACTACCAATTTATTATTCTTCCTTTCCCTTTTTACTAATTGAGATAATTATTATTCTTTTCTTTTCTCTTTGTGTGTACATGTGTATTTTGTGTGTGTGTGCACATGTGCATGTACACACTTTTTCCCTTTGGACAAATTTTATCCTTCAACCCAACTCTTGTCTTGAGTGAATTTCGTGATAATGAGAAACTAAATCCACTGCACATTGTTTAAAGAAATACTATACCCTGAGCAAATAAGACAATAAATGAGAAAACTTCCTTTTTATGATTTTAGAATTTTGTTGATTTTCTGCAATTGTTGTCTGTGATTCTGATTCTAGAAGGGTTGAAAAAAACAGGTTTTCCAGGTCTAAATATAAATAAAACAAGATGACAAATCCACTGGACACCCATATACACAGAGTTTATTTGCATAGAGAACTTATAATATATTACATTTGTCCACTTAGATTCCCAAGTCATCCTCCACACCAGTCTTTGAGGTTCACATTATTATTTTACACATTTTGCTGCTGAAGTTTCAAGCTTTTAAATGATTTTTCAGTGGACAAACTGTTAGAAAGTGGGAGGATCAACTTGATCACAATTTTCAACAGAAAGAATACGCAGTTACCCTACTTTCTTAACTTGTCCCTTTTTCACTTAGAACATTATAAATATATATATATATACATATATGTACATATATACACATATATATGTTGCACACATATGTTGCATGTATCTTCCTGTAAATGCAGTCTTCCAAACATCAGAGCAAGGAGAGTGCTTTTTAAAAAAGGTCTCTAACATCATACAATATATTGCTTGAATACATGACTTGTAAAGATATCAGCCTTATGCCATTAAAAAACCACATCCTAATTGATCTCTAACAAGTATATAATATTAATTTAATTAATTATTTATTTATCTAATGTTTATTTATTATTGAGAGAGAGAGAACAGAGGAGGGGAAGAGAGAGAAGGAAACAGAGGATATGAAGCAGGCTCTGTGCTGACAGCAGAAAGCCTGATATTGGGCTTGAACCCATGAACTGTGAGATCATGACCTGAGCCAAAGTCAGATGCTTAGCCAACTGAGCCATCCCAGTGACCCCATAATATTTATTTAAAATGTATGTGGGTTAACACGGATCAAGGGAAAGAGAGAATGTTATGAATAAAGAAGAGATCAGTACTCAACCAAACTTAAAGATAAAAAAAAAAAACAATATTAAATTTATCGAACAAGAGATTACAACTAAAGATTTTGAGATTGACTGAAGAACAAACAGAGAGAACAATAAATTTAAAAAAATTCTATTTAAAACATGATTAAAAATAGTAAAACAATGAACCAGAAGCCTCTTAATTTTTTTAAATATTTTCTCTCTCTCTATATATATATATACATATATGTACATATATATATATATACTCTCTCTATATATATACATATATATTTGTATACAAATATATATATACATATATATTTATCTATCTATCTATTTATTTATTTGAGAGAGAGAAAGAGTGGCTCGAACCCACAAACCATGAAATTGTGACCTGTGGTGAAGTTGGACACTTAACTGGCTGAGCCACCGAAGGGTTCTTGGAAGCTGTCAGCTTTTCAAAGTCAGACTTACTGTAATGAAGTTTTCCTACAGTAAATTATCAGCATGTTTAGGTACACAGTTTCATGAGTTTTGACAAAGAAAGTCTTGCAACCAGCAGCACAATCAAGACAGATTATTGCTGCCAACCTAATAAATTCCATTATTTCCCTTCATAGACAATTCCATCCCCTTCCCCAGCCTCTGACAACCAACAAGAAACTATTGATGTGATTTATGTCATGCTTTTGCCCTCTGCCAGATGTGATCTAAATAGAATCATGCTGGAGTAGGTCATTGAGCTGATGTGACCTTCAGTTAAGTTGTGACCTGAACCTAGGCAATCAGAGGCTCCTTACTCCTCTCATCCTTGAAATAAATGTCTGCCATTATTCCAATGTTAGCAGCCATGTCACAGATGTAGCCTTGAGAAAGTAAGGTGCTGTTGAGATAATTCTGGACTGAAAACATGACTAAATCCAGGTAACGTCTCTATATAAACTTTAAAGATTCTGGTGAGCAGGTGCGGCAAACATCTTGCCTTGCTTATTAAACCTGCCACCAATCGAGTTGTCTGCCTCTTTCTTAGGTCTCTCTTTGCCTCTTTGCAAACAACCATATCATGTAGCCTTTTAAGTATGGCTTCTATCCTTCATTGTAACTTTTGAGATTCAACAATGTTGTTACTTTTATCCATTTACCCCTTTATATCATTAACCTAGTCCCTTCTATGCATGCACTATCAGTTGAGGGCCATTGAGTCTGTTTCCAATTAGGACAATTAGATATAAAGCTCCTTTTCCTGTAGACCTATATTTTTATCCTGAGTAAATAATAAAATTGATAGCATCTATAGTAAGTGTAAGCTGTTCAGAAGACTGACAAACTTTAACAAAATTATTGTGTTGCTTTTTATTGCCACCAACAACGTCTGAGACTTTGTGTTGCTTTAAATACTCTCCAGCACCTGACATGTTCTTTCTATTTTCTTTTTCTTTTCTTTTTTACAGTTTTAGCTATTTTAATAGTTATGAATGAGTTTCTCATTTTGATTTTAAGTTTCCTTAATGACTAATCATTTTGAACATTTTCATGGTCATATTTCTACCTTATTTTTCATTTGGTGAAATATCTGTGAAAATCTTTTGCTTATTCTGTTATTTGGTTGCTTGTTTTATTGTTATTGAGTTATAAGAAATTCTTTTTTAATCTTTTTCTTAATTTTTTAACGTTTATTTATTTTTGAGAGATTTGAGAGACAAAGAGACAGAGTGTGAGCAGGGGAGGTGCAGAGAGTGAAGGAGACACAGAATTGGAAACAAGCTCCAGGCTCTGAGCTGTCAGTAAAGAGCCTGATGCAGAGCTTGAACTCACAAACTGCAAGATCATGAGCCGAAGTTAGCCACTTAACCAACTGAGCCACCCCAAAGAAATTCTTATATATTCTGGATACAAGTCTTTAAACAGATATGCACTTTGCCAATATTTCTTTTCTAGTTTGTAGCTAGACTCTTCATAATTTTATAAACATATATTAGATAATATATATTTTTATTAAAATATTATGTTATAGTGTCTTTTTAAAAACAAATTACACTTTTAAGCACAGCTTATTAATTTTTACTTATGTGTTTGTGCTTTTTGTGCAATATTTAAGAGAAATGTTCCTAACCTAAGGTGAAATTATTTCCTCCTGTGTTTTATTCCAGAATTTTTAAATTAAATTTTCTTCAGGTCTATAGCTTTTCCCTTGATTTGGGTATATGTTTTGACATCATATTCTTTTCTCCTTCTCTCCTTTCTTCTTTCTATCTCATTTCCTCTCCTTCTTTTATTGCTTTCCCCTTTTCTTTTCTTCTTGTATTTTGTTTTCTGTGAATTAATGTCCAATTGATCAACCAGTGGGTTGAATCCTTCCCTGGATTCCAAGGTCATCAAGTTCTGGGAATCTGGTATTTCTGAGCATGCCTC